CGCACGTCTTCCTTCTGCTTGGAAAGCCTATGCTCCTAGTCCTCAGTGAGGTGCTTCTGCTGAGCCTCCTTCAGTCAGATTCAATTTGAACTGAACTAGGCATTTTGCCAACTCTTTCTCATGGTGGCTGCTTAGCCCCAACAACTGCTTCCTGTTGGGACCCTAAGGAGCCTGGGCAGGCAGATGAGGAGTGGCTGGCTGGGGAGGGGCAAGTAGAGGCCGGCAAGGTGCCCCTTGATGTGAGTGACATTGAGTTGGCCACACCCACCCAGTCCCATAATTACCTAGCCACGCCCACCCAGTCAGTCATTAGGCAGATCATATTAGTGGTCCGCAGGAGATCCGAAAGATTGCTGACCTCTGTTCTATATAGAGGCAGTTCTACCACATGGTTCCAGGAATGGTGCCACTTGAAAAATCTTGTCACATCAGTGTCAGGAATGATAATTTGCAAGATAGGTTTTTAGGGATGGAGTGGGCAACTATGGTCCCTTTATGAGCTGTGGATTTCAACCCCTAGAATTCCTGAGCCAGGACGCTGAGTATTCCAGAGAATGCTGGGTACCCCAGAGCAAGTTGGCTCTGGAATTCTGGGAGTTGAAGGGGCCATAATTGCCCATTCCCTGTTCTAGGACAAAGATAGCCTTGGGAAACTTGGTTTAATAAAAGTCAATCATCAAGAGTTATAAAAGAAAGTCTTACCATTCGTAGACAATAAAAATTGAGCAGCGTTTTTCTGGGGTAACCACCTAATTTTGTTGATCTTTTCTTCAATTTCTAAGCTTTTCAAGTAGTCAAACTCTGGCTCGTGACTTTGGAAGGTACTGTAAACATTGTATTCACCTCTGGTGTGAGATTGTAGTTTGTTCTGAAAGACAATTAAAAAAAGATGAGAAAAATTCAATGAACAACAACTGTAGTTCACTCTTTCTATTGTGTAATAGGGGCTACATAGCTCAGCATAACTAGAACGCACCATGTACTACATGGGATGTGGACTAAGGTTCTGCCCGTATCCATTATTGAGTTGAGAATGATGAGAATTCAAGGGAAATAGAATCAACTCAAACATGAATCATTTAAGGGGCTGCCAAACATTTAGTTGATCAACTGAACAAGCCTTTTGATAAAATTTGAAGTTATTAGCATATGAATCCAATGTCTCTGGGGAGAAAAGACACTTTAAAGCACTTAACTAATGATTGTAATTTGTCTAATCAGCTGGATAAACATTGTAATTTAACTCTGCCTGATGAATATCCCATAACTGGGGTGGGGGTGTCGTGCTCTCCTGGAGCATCAAAGACTAAATGTTCAGGGCAAAGTTCTTTAAATAATTATCTTTTCTTTGTTATGCCAGGTTATTTTTAAAAAGAAGGAAGGACGGGGGTGGGTCAAAACCTTAGTTACCACTTTACAAATTCAAAGAAATATTGATTGCTATCTTTGAGAAATTTTGACCTACTGTCCACCCATTCCTCTCACCTTTTGTGAAATGGGTTAGACAGAGGGTGGACTAGCTCAAAATCATATGCCTAAGAAAGGATTGATTTTGGGTTAATTGCACCCTTATCCGAATGTTATAAGCAGGCATAGAAAGAGATATAACTATACAAAAATAAGCATAGATTGAATACACCACCCTATACAGGACGTTCGATATCTCAGACATGAGGGAAAATAACAGAGGCACAAACAGGTGGGCAAACCCACTCAGGCTTCAGTGTGACCCACTGCTTGTAAAACCCTGTGTGAATTTAAAACTGAAAATCTGCAAAAGTCCCAGTTGCCGATGCATCTATAACATGGGTGCACAAGGATTGAAGAGATGCTGCATTTCACAGGTTTCATGGTTGCTTCTCAAAGCAAAGTTCCAGTAATTAGAATGGCCTTCTGTTTGTGTGCCTCTTCCACTTCTTTCTGTAAGCTACAAGAAGTGCCAGACAGGGGGTCAAAGTGCCACACCACCACTCCTCTCTTTGCCTCGTTGAGCAGGACTTCCCTTAAATGCGATTTATTAAGCATGAGCAACCAATCGTTATTAAAGATTAGTCACCCTTTTTATTAGAAGGGCTTTTGAACAACAACAACAACATAATTACTTCCAAGTGTTTAATAACAGGCTGAAAGAGGAAACACTTCATATCTTGGAAGATGTTAATATCAGCCCAGATGTTCTTAGAAGCCATACCAGATTCAAATGATCAGTATTTAAGTCTCAAATCATCGGAAAGATGCCAAATTAAAAAAAGGTTAGCAAAATCTGAGTTGTGGCATCACTGTTGTATTGTACCAAATGGCTTGCATTATTCATTAGTGTTTCTCCACCCACCCACCCACCCCCAATGAAACAAGACTCCGACGCTTGAGTTTCATTTAATGAGAGATGTCATATCGGCACATCTGGGAAAACCCGAATCTGAAAGTTTCCCCAATGAAACATCTTGGCACTTACTTGCCAAGTCTACTATGCTGGTGACCATCTAGATCAGGGGTGTCAAGCTCAAAGCCCAGGGGCCATATCCAGCCCATGGATTACTTAGATCTGGCCCATAGAACTGCCTTGGAAACAGTGAAGGACCAGCCCATGGTGCTTCTGCCAGCTCAAGCTCCGTTTTCACTAGCAGAGGGTTGCAGGAGACCCTGGCAGTCGAAAGTGGAGCTCGGGAGCCTGTTTTTGCTGGCAGAGCACTCGGGCCACCACAGACACCCCCGATGAGTGACATCGAGCTGGCCACACCCACTCTGGTCACGCCTACCCACCCTCGCCACGCCTACCCAGGCCCCCTCAGGTCAAACACAACCCTGATGTGGCCCTCAATGAAAATGAGTTTGACACCCCTGATCTAGATTCAGGCATAACTTATAAGACAAGATGAAGATGATCTTCTTCTGAGCCTCTTTTCTAAGCCAGAGGACACTATCCGTGTTGGCATGCTAAGCTGAATTCCCAGCCAGACTAGTTAACATTTTATTGGCATGAATCTCACTGACATGATCAGTGATCAGTCATTTCCTGCCTAGTAGGTCACATAGCCTTGCCACGTTCTAACCCAAGCAAGCTCAGTGGCCAATGCCATTACAGGTCTGGTGGCATCTGGAGCAGCTTTGCAGATGGTCCTCAACTGTCTTGGATGTCGTATGTGCTGAAAGGCGGCATAGGTAATTCTCAACTTATGACCAGACTTGAGTCCAAAATTACAAGTGGTAAATTGTGGTGGTCATTAAGTGAGTCACCATGCGACTGTGTCCGATTTGATGACCATTTTTGTAATAGGCATTAAGCAAACACCGCAGACATTAAGCAAACCCATTGTACTCAATGGGCATTTTTGTCCCAGAAACTAGAAGGAAACACTTCTGGCAAGCAACATAAATCATGGTCAGATTTAGCATAGCTATTTATTTATTTACGATCATAGATCAAAATAAGCCCTGGAGAATTAAATATCTACCTCTTCCCTATTATCCTGATTCAGGGTGTATAAATCGCCCACTTACACCTAAACAGGGTGTTTATTTTTCAAGGGTAAATGCCTTCCCAGAAATCAGTGGATTTTCAGTGATTATTTAGGCACAGGAAGGAAAAGGGGAAAAAAGTAGTTGAGGAATTTAGGGATCATAAGCTTCAACTTTTCTGCCTTTGGGGGTATTTCAAATATTATTTAGAGACCAAAAAATGGTTGCTAAGTTTGACACTGTACCATTGTCATAGCTCTTATTTTTCTTAAAAAGCAAGAAATTCCACTGCTGAATTTCACTGAACAGTTCTGACTAGCTAATCTAAGGAAAGCTCACAAGGTACCATTTTAGAATCAAAATCAGAAAATATTTACAGTATTAATGATAGATCATAACTTACAGCAACAGGAATGTTAATTAATATAACACAAGTAGCAATGTAAATGTCTAAGAAAGAAATACTAAATAAAAATGCTGAATAATTCTATTAATAAAGCATTTTATTATAATTTAACCAGCAAGTAAGATGGTTTAAATAAAGAATTGCCAAGAACAAAGGAAGCAACATGTTAAATCATGGAAGGAAGTTTTGGTAGAAATTCCTTCCCCTCCCTCACCCTATTAAGAGGGTTTAAATTACTAATGAATGGTACAAAGGGAGACAGTGAAAAATTTACAACAAAGTGAAGGGCATGAATAGGCTTTGTATAACAAAAGACCTCCCCTCTGACATCATCCTTAAAACAAGAAAAAAGTCAGCAAAAGTGGCCCTGATATTTTTCTGGAAAGCTCTGAAGACATGATTCTGTTAGCAGGCCAACTTGGGGGCACCTGGTTGATACAAAGCCAGTCAAGTGGTTGGTGCCAATCAAGTGCTTGATATATTGTGTGGTTGCTGGTGGTGGTGGTGGGGGAGATGGGGCTTTATGGGTTCCACCCTTGTGAAATTCTAAATTTTTAAGCCATCACCAGAATTGGGTGGCAAATTGACATTTATTTAATAAATAAGGAAACAGAATAACAGAGTTGGAAGTTATCTTGGAAATCTTCTAGTCCAACCCCCTGCTCAAGCAGGAATCCTATACCATTTCAGACAACATGTATAAAAATTAAAAGTAAGTTTAAATACTTGAGCTAAGTATCAATTGGGCACTCACACCCCTGTGAAATAGGAATCCTATTGTTGGCATTGCTTTATCTGAAGACAATGATAGCTTTGAAGGATTTCACACATTCTGAGCTCAAGGCACAGAAGATAAAATTTAAATCAAGATTAGTGACAAATCCAGGTAGCATCTCAGTTGTGAACGTCAGGAAGAGCAAAGGTGATAACAAGTCCTCCATAGATTTGGGAAGACAGAACAGATTGGTGAAAGACTATGCTCTCCATAGGCTAAGGTCAATGCCAGAAGATTTTATTGCAGTATTTATTAATAAGTGAACTTATCATCACTTCAAATAACCACAAGGAGAAAGGGTGAAGGCAAAAGTTTAAACCTCAGGGGTATTATCTGCACTCCATAAATGGGAAAATTTGGCTTGTCCAAACTAACAAACATCTGTAGTCTATATATTCCAAGTACGGATGCTTTTATGGATAATCTTGTTTGAACTTCATTACAATATGGGTACATCTGCTGCAAGCATCCAAGATTATCCCCTTTGTTAAATGTACTTGCTTTAATATGGAGACAGAAACTCAAATTAGGTTTTAAGATGGGTGCCCCTCTATTCCCAACTGACCACTATCACTGCCTTACCTATCTGCAATCCTCAGCATATTCAACAAAATTTACATTGATGATGATGTTACCTAGTTTGGATAATGAAATGTCTTCAAGAAAACAACCAAGCTCAGAGAGCATCAAGGATTCTTCATTTCAACCCCTGAGCTACAAATATTATCCTTTATTGGTATCCACATTACAATTCATGTATGAAATCTCAATTAGCATTCAAGAAACAGCTGAAGCTCGTGTTGCATCTGAACCTTAAAAGTGTTTCCAGTAACTCGGTTAAGGATTGATCCTTGGTGTCTTGGGATATATCCAGATATCCTGGATGCCCTGAGGCCAGAACCAGCATAATAACTAACATTCTTTTTGTCATTTTACAGGTTAAAAGAGAAATATGGGGTAGGCTAATTATATTGAGTGACTTGTCCCCAGCTCTGTGACCACGAGGTGGCACTAGAAGATTACTTTAAGTCTATGTGAAGGACAAACTCATAATAGAATACAATTCTTTATTGGCCAAGTGTGATTGGACACAAGGAATTTGTCTTTGGTGCATATGCTCTCAGTGTACATAAGGAAAATAAAAATACATCCATCAAGAATAAAAAGATACAACACTTAATGCTAGTCAAGTTTACTAATAAGCTATCAAATCGTACTAGGAAACAATAAAAACAATATAAATTGAAAGATACAAGCAACATGGTTATAGTCATAAGTGGGGAGAGATAGATACTAGGAAGGAAGGGAATAATAATAATAGTAATACATTCTTAGTAAATTATTGTCAGTGTTGTGGGAATTAGTTGTTAAGCAGAGTGATGGCATTCGG